ATGCATGATAGTTGTCAAGCAGCAAGGTGGCTTCCTTCAATAGTTTGTTCTGCATAGGATGTTTTATAGTATTTGAAATGAGGCCATGGTAGAATCAGTCTTTGAAATATGATGAAGTCACCAAGGTATTGGCACTACTTGAAGATTGACATGGCTGTGAATTTAGATTTACATTTTGGTCCATTCAGGCTTAGAAGTTTGGCCACCTTCATCCATCTCCATTGGCATGCTTCTTGATTATTCTTCATCTTTAAGCCACCCATAAGAATTGATTCAGTGACCCCATTCTTTGACGTGTATACCTGCATAGTACTAGTCAGAGATTCTGCAGAATGCTCATGGGAGATGGTCCTAATGAGAGTGCTGTAATGCTAATGGGAATAATTAAGAAACTGCTCAAAATCTGAGAGATTACAAAATGGCATGTAAGGAGCCCACTATGCATACTCTAGCATGTGTGCATCACATGGAGTCGTTCCAGTCATATCAGACTACTCCAGAAATAATCACTCGTCATTGTCGGCACTCAAACCACTTGTAACCATAACCTACCTGGCAATACGGAGCCCGCTTTTGTGACACTTACCTCAAAGGTCAGTCGTTTTCAATTCCTTAGAGGGGAAGCTTCTCAAAGCAATAATTTAGGACAAAATTAGTGATCAGTTGGATCATTGCAGGTAATTAAGGAAAAGTAGCATAGATTTGTTAAGGTCAAATTGTGTTTCACTAATTTGCCAGAAATTATTGGAGGGATACGTAAGAGTGAGTGTTAATGAGGTTAATGCTGTTGATATGGTGTATGTAGACTTTCAAAAGATATTTTTACAGTGCTGGACAAATAAATGGGACAGTGGCAACATGGATATGAAATTGGTTGAATGACAGGAAACAGTAGCGTTAATGGAATATTTTACGATTGAAGAAAGTTTGTGTTGGAGTTTCTGAGAAGTTGGAAGTTGGAATTCTTGCTGTTTTGATATTTATGAAGAACTTAAACCTTCTCTATACAGGGAACAAATTGAAAGTGTGCTGGTGATGTACAGAATGGTAAAATTATCACCTGGGTGCAGAACAGTGTAGAACTTCAAAATGATATAACCCAGTTGTCGGAATAGGTGAACATGTGTCAGATGAATTTTAATGCAAAATGGAGTGATTTATTTTGGCTGGAAGGACATGGAGACACAAGATAAAATAACAGGTAGAATTCAAAAGAGAAGCAGAGGCACCTAAGTGCATATTTCCATAAGACATTAAGGATGGGAGGACAGGTTGAGAGAGCAGTTGATTAAGCATACAGTGTTGTAGGCTTTATTCTTGGGAGCGTGGAGGTTGTTTTATACTTGAATAAAGTTGTTTCTGCCTCGTGGAACATTTTGGCAAATTACAGTCAACAAAGGTTTGGAAAGATATGAAAAGCCATTAGCAACAGTACAAAATAAATCATGAGAACTTATGGTTCCAGAGATGAAAAATGTCAGATAAGTACATTGGAGAAGAGAAAGTTGAGAGCAGGTCTGATGAGAGGTACTGAAAATCATGAGAGTAGACAGATTAGATGGGGAAAATAAACTGTTCCTACTGTACATGGGTCAAGAACAGGAGGGTACTGATTGAAGGTAATTGACAGTCGGGGAAATAGAGACATGAGGAGAAATATTTTCATGCAGTTAGTGGTTCTGATTTAGGGTGCACTGCCTGAGAGAATGTTAGAAGCACATTCAAGCAAGGAGGAGTTGGATTAATATCTGTAAAGGAAGAATGTACAGGGTCACAGGGAGAAGTCACAGCTTTGGGAGTCGGTCCATTGCTTTTCGAACAGCCAGGTAAGACGAGGTGGAACATATGACCTCCTTGTGTGCCATGACTGTTCTGTGATTCCATGTTAATGGTAAATACTACCTTGGTTTTGCAGTCAGCATCAAAGGTATGGTGTTCACTATGTTGATAGTTGCCAACAGAGCTTTAGCAGCCTCTGGTTTCGAGTTTTGTGGGGTTGAATTTTTAAAATTTCAATTAAGACCAAATGGAAATAAGACAGGAAAAAAATATGGCTGCTGAGTGGCTCATCCTGGTGTTCTGCCTTTGATTCGTTCCCTGGTAATTTTCACGAGGAAGGGTGCACCACAGCCCATCACACATGTTAAGGAAGCAATTGACAGCATTGTGGGCCCAGTGAGAGTCCTGTTTGATACATTTTATCTTGATATTCAATGAGTTTAATAGCTATGGAGTTTTACATCAGCTGGCTAGATATATGAACCATGGAGTGGAGGTGGGTAAAATTATTCAGGCTGCTTTACTATTCGTTGTGAAATGCTGTGCCTGAGCTGTGTCTTTGTTCGTTAAGGTCAAAGATCACACAACACCAGGTTATAGTTCAACAGGTTTTTTTGAAGACACAAGATTTCAGAGTCTCGTTTCTTCTTCAGGTGTCAGGTATCTTCAAATAAACCTGTTAGACTATAACCTAGTGTCGTGTGATCTTTGACCTTGTCCACCCCGGTCTGATACCGCCATCTCCACATCATTTGTTCATTAAGATAAGTCAGGATAGTGCTGTAATTGAAAAATGGAATTAACCATTAAACAGTCTGTTCTCCATACTGTAGAACTTCAAACAGCAAGCTGTCAACCTAAAAGATCATTATTTCAAATATGAAAAAGACTTTGGATGACTTTAAAAAAAGGTATAGATCTTCATTTAATAGATAATAATACAATCATGAGGGTAACCTAGTGTTGTAACAATGTGTAAATGTTTCATCTTTTCACCTCAGATATCTGCTGAAATAACAAAAATTAAGTTACTTTTTGAGGTTTTTTTGCGCTGTTGCATGCAATCTGGCTCCCTAATTGTTTGACAGATGCTTGACTTTGTTTATGCTGTTGGTTTTGAAGTTTATTTACTTGGGGCATTTTATGAGCTGTTCAAAGGATTCCAGTTATTGCAATAGGGCTGGTAAAATTCTGTTTATCAAGTAAACAATGGGTGATTGAATGCTGAGGGAGATAATGGTTTATGGGCGAGGGAGGTAGGATGGGGATTAGGGTCATTTAAATTGATCAGAGAGTTTATATTTTTGTACATAGGGAGCCATCCTAATACAGCTCCAGCTCCGTTGCTAATTCTATTTGAAGACCTGGAATTGGGTTGATGGAATTAGTCTGGCCTCCTGGTTCCCACCTCTGATCTAAAGACTCAACCCTAATGGTTCTCCAGGGTATTCCTGCCGTCTAGATTACACTGATAAGATCTATATTTACCTGAATCCTGTATTGTGTCCTTAGTTAGGATTCTACTGAACATTATATCAACATAATGTTGATTCTGAATTAAAAATGAATGAAAAGTGCATCAGGGGATGTTAGTACATTAAATTGCACTTAACTGCTTTTGCCTTACCTTTAGTCTTGCTGACAGGAATGGAGAAGATGTCCTTTTTGGATTGCAGCAAAATTATGAAGAATTCATTTATAAACTAATTTACAATGTCAACATTTTATATCTCACAGTTAATGTCTCCATCATAGTAATCATGAGAAAACCTCCCTCTAAATGGGAAATAAATTGAATCAAAAATTCTTATTAGAATTAATCATAACCAATATAATGAATAATCTTTGAAATCTTTTTCTATTCTTTTGTTCTTTGTTCTAAACTTATTCATTATTAATACATACATTTGTCTCTTTCATAAAAGTATTGCATATTAAAGCACTGATACAAACTGAAATAGCTCCACAAAGGCTGGTATCCTGTCACCCTTTATTTACACATGCACAGTATTTGACACTGGTCTGCCTTCCTCAGAACCAGCTGTCAGAGTGAACAGAACCTCTGACACCATTCTCATCTGTCAGCCAGGGCTCCCTGATTGGACCAGGTTAACAGCCCCAGTCAGGGAACTCATATTCTCTGGGGTCCACCTAGCTGATCTTGTTCCAATCAGGACACAAACAAGACTTCTTTCCTATCTGAATGTTAATTGAAGTTAAGTCTTTAAAGTCCTGATACAGAAAGACAAAACCCAAAGACAGATTTCCAGCACCCTGACACAAATCAGCATCATCAAGACTGGTATGAAATTGCTTGATCTGCAGTCATTAGGATTAACGAACAAACTCTATGGGCTGAAATTTAACCATGGAGGCAGGTAATGGAAGTCAGGAACTTTCATGCCTCCGAAGCCTTCATCTGGCAAGGAGTGGGGGTGTGGAGAAAACAATGATCAGCCCACTTTAGCTCATTTCTATTTGTGGTACTTGTGTGGCTAAATAATTTTGCTTAAAGGATTACAAAATACAACAAGTTAAGTTTAAGGACACCCTTTACTAATGAGGAGCAGTGCTGCCTGAGGCTCACAATGAAAATCCAGGTCTCTGTTGCCTCAGGCTCTGCCCCTTCAAGCTGTGAGACATTAAGACTCTCTCACTATATATTGCATATCCTGCCCTCGCCCTTTGACAGCTGTCAGTGGCTATTTGCAGTTTTCCGCCTGAATTTGGCAGCTGTTGTAATTTGCTAAGCCACTGACAAAGACACTCTAGCAAAGATAGACTTGTATCCCTATTGTTAGTATTCTTTCTGTAATTTTAGTAGTATTTTAATTTTTTGAAAAATTTGAGATAGCGTGAATATTGCTGACAATTTTTGGTTTTGACAGAATTAACTAATAACTTATTGACTAAACTTGAAATCCAACTACCCAAACACGTAGTGATAAGTTTGTGCATGAAAATTTGGCCTAATCTTAATATACTTTTTAGTTAGGAAGTACATCTAAAACTCAAGTTTTTTCTCAATGTTAAAGAGGTAATTTGTAGTCCTGAATTCAACAAACACCTGAATTCAACATGATCGTGTCTGAATATTCTTTAATCTCACTTTGTCCTCAATTTATAATTTCAGACTAAAACCTTTTAGTTTTAATTGAACAACTGTACTGTGTGCTAATATCTTTATAGCTACATTGCTATATTGTTTATTTTTGTTTCAGATAAGACTTGGATGCATTCACCTGAAGCTCTCTCAAAACATTTTATACCATACACCGTAAAGGTATGTAATGATCCATAATGACACAGGAAAGAATAATGAGTGTTTTATGAAGGAAGATCTGTCACTGATTTTTGATAGAATATGTAAATATTATGTTAAAATAAATGAATTTACTTTGAAGTTGTACTGTTTACGTTAACATTGGCTCCTGGCTGAACACGCTAGATTTTGAAAAAAGTGTCCTTTTAGTTCATTAATTTAACCTGTTATGAAATATTAAGGAATTATTACATTTGATATATAGCAGCTATTGGATGAATTCAACTTAGTACTTTGCACTTTAAGAAAGGAAGGCCCAAACGTGACTTGATGCTCTGGACATTTGCTAACATTTTTATACACTCTTCAATGTTGAGCAACATTAGGGTGACATGCAAGCAATCAAAATATTTCACCAAATCAAAATAATGCTTTACCCAACAAAGATTTCAGTAAAAGCATGGAGTATTTGTGTAGTGGCACAATGTTTATCGATACAGTTGAACATATATATAGATTTCTTATTTTGACTGTTTCAATAGATTAGGTTCTGCTTAATAGCTGAATTCATTCCAGGGTTTTATTTCATAGCCATTCACCCCTGGGTAAGGAAGTTCTGGTTTGATAATTTGCAAAGAGATAGAACACGAATAGAAGGGACGAGGGGAAATACCATAATTCTGTTTAGGTTTCTATTTTAAAAATGTCTGGACTAAATTAACACACCTTTTCATCCAGTTTATGAGACTTCACTGTGCAAAATTGGCTGCTACATTTGCCTGTATCACTGCACTTGAAGAAACTGTTATATTGGTTATAAGATGTTACGGTCTATCCTCCAGATATGATAAAATGCTGCATTTCTCATACATTTCTCAGTTCAATTTCTCCTCCTGCTCTGACATTCTAGCGTCTACTTTAAAGAATATTCTGTCCTTACTTTTTAACCTATCAAGGCTTCAATTGGGTCTATGTTATGAGAAACTCAAGGAATCAGAGAAAAGAAAAGAGAGGAGTCTATAGATTTTCAATATTCTTACTTTCTCCATTTCATTTAATGGCAAAGATTAGTCAACAGATGTGTTTTCATTGGCTTTCTTTTTTAATTACCTTGGATTTCATTATTAGTTTAGTCTCTAACATTTAAGACATCTACCTAAACAAAATTGGGTGACATAATTCTATTCTCAACACTTAATCCTTGTGTTTCATTATGACTTTGTTGCTTATTCATGCCTTTTGAAAATATTTGTGTACCATTCAGACTGTGCATCTTTGTAATATTCTATATCCTATATTGTATTATAAGGGAAAAGGACATTAGTCTCCATTGTATTGATTATTGTGATTACAGATCAACGTAATGTGAATTGACATTGCCATTTAACACTCTTGCATCAAAGATGTGATTCTATTGTTTGCTGTAGAGAGTAACTTCACCCTGCCTGTCTTCAAAAACTGATCATTACGTTTAATCAACAAAAATAGAAGTTGCTGGAGAAATTTGTTCTGATGAAGGAACCCAAAATATTGACTTTGCTTTCTCTCCGCACAGAGACGCTACCAGACCTGCTGAGTTTCTGCAACAGTTTCTGATTTGTATCAGATTTCCAGCATCTGCAGTCCTTTTTATTTGTTACATTTAATCATTGCGTTGAAACTGGTTTCTGATCACTGGCTTTTATTTCACTGTTAAAATTATCCAGCAGTTTAGCAAAAGATTTTCTGTTTATTCAGCTATTTGGGGTCGCTCACTACCATTATTCAGTTTCTTTTAAAAGGTGTGGCTTTTAATTTTAATAGCAATATCAAAAAGCTTGTGCAGCAGAACTGTATTGCAATGCAATTTTAATGGAGCTCACTGGATGTAAGTGGAGAGTTCACAGGGGGCTAATCAACATCAAATATAAAATGAAAAACAAAATACTGCCCATGCTGGAAACCTTAAAATGAAAACAGTTAAGATCACATTGCTTAGCAGGGCAGCCAGCATCTGTAGACAACCTGAAATCAATTGCCTGACCTGCTTAATATTTCGATTTTTTTTTTCTGTTTTTCAGTGATCTGAAGCTGGAAGATAGGTTAATGTTTTAGATGAGCTCCAATAACAAGTTCCCAAACTTTCCTATCTTTTCAAAGTCTGATAATCTTTCAATATACATCTGTAGAAATTTTTACTTTATTTCAAATTTCCACCCTTTTCAAAAAAAATCTTTCTTAAATGAGAAGGTTGTTGCAATTGTACAATACGAGCTCAGATCATTAAAATGAACTGTTTTGGCCCTCTTGTCCGTAACTTCTATTTTCACATAATTTTCCATCAAAACATGTTTATGCAGCTTAGAATTGGACTCTCTTTTTCCATCTGGAAGCAGCTATTTGAGACTTCATAACCTACAGTCTCCTGTTGCTGTGCCAACATTTGGGTATTTTGCTTCTGACAAAGGTCCATTCATTGGAATCTCACCCTGACGAACCATAGGAATTCATTAGTTCTCATGTCTTGGTATTTGCTATCATTTTGTTTAAATGTCCAATTTAAATTTCACCGCTGGCTCTCATTGGTTTCACTTTCTGTTTATTAACATTTCTGAAAACCGCCTGATTGTTTTGGGAGAATAATCAATGGGTGGTAGTGAGAGGATTTAGCTGACTTTTGATTAAGTATCTCCAAATCAGTTTATTTACAACATTGAACACTGAGGGCTAGAAGCTCTGAGTTGTGCCAACGCTGGAAACCTTTACAACTAGTGGGCATCATGTAGCTATGAAAGTCTCACCCCCATTACTGACATCCAGCCTTTTTTCTGGCTTGTGAGAGGGGTAGGAATGAATCATGCAAGTGGAAAGTTAGAACTTAACAAGACCATTTGAAATTAGTGCTGAGTTCAAACAGCATAAGAACATAAGAACTAGGAGCCGGAGTAGGCCATCTGGCCCCTCAAGCCTGCCCCGCCATTTAATAAGATCATGGCTGATCTTTTTGAGACTCAGCTCCACTTACCCGCCCACTCACCGTAACCCTTAATTCCTTTACTGTTCAAAAATTTATCTAGCCTTGCCTTATAAACATTCAGCGAGGTAGCTTCAACCGCTTCACTGGGCAGGGAATTCCACAGATTCACAGTCGTTTGGGTGAAGAAGTTCCTCCTGACCTCAGTCCTACATCTGCTTCCCTTTATTTTGAGGCGATGCCCTCTAGTCCTAGTTTCACCTGCTAGCAGAAACAACCTCCCTGCCTCCACCTTATCTATTCCCTTCATAATCTTATATGTTTCTATAAGATCTCCCCTCATTCTTCTGAATTCCAATGAGTATAATCCCGGTCTACTCAGTCTCTTCTCATAATCCAACCCTCTCAACTCTGGAATCAACCGAGTGAATCTCCTCTGCACCCCCTCCAGTGCTAGTATATCTCTTCTCAAGTAAGGAGACCAAAACTGCACACAGTACTCCAGGTGTGGCCTCACCAGGACTCTATCCAGCTGCAGCATAGCCTCCCTGTTTTTAAACTCCATCCCTCTAGCAATGGCAGACAAAATTCCATTTGCCTTTTTAATTATCTGCTGCACCTGCAATCCTACTTTTAGCAGCTTTTACTCACTGGAGGTGTCACGAGTTGACAGCAATGGAGTAGATGCTTATGAAGCATGTGTAGCCCATTTAAATGTCATGATGTGAATTCTGTTTCATTGCTCTTTAACACTGACAAAAGGCATAGGCTATGAGTAAAACTTCTTTAAAAAGTTTGATGAACCTCTTGGATTGACAGACAGTCTGGTGTTGATTTACAAAAAAGGACTGCCTGTTCCACATTTTCAATATAGATCTTGTTGACATTTCCCAAGGGAGGATCTTTGGCTGAGTTTAAAAAGTCACAGAAGTATCTCTGCAGTGCACCTGAGTGCACTGATTGATGATTCAAAGAGGCTACAAAAAGATTATCTGTCTTTAGTCTGGGGGATGAATAGAAGTTTGTTTGTTTTATAAGTAGTTGAACTGCTGAGATTTAAAAAATTTCGATGGGTTTAATGAATGGATTTCTGTTTTGCCTAGAGTATCAAATATGAGCGAGAGCTATATCAGATTGTCTGTTTTTTTTCTGTTTTCATCTCCACATGGTTTTAAAAATATGTACATACCATAATTTGCCATGCCAGTGCCACAGGGCGTAGGAGGGTGCACTGGTGATTGCTGAGCATGGGCTGGCATGGGAAACATATGGAAAATGAATTAAGCTGTGAAAGAGCATGAGAGATGAGAGTGGGAGGGCCTAAAAACTTTGAAAGAAAATTAGATTTAGTCCCAGAGAACTGAGGCAGGCCTTCTAACCTCCTGCATCTGCGGTTGTCTATGTTCTGGTTTTGGGACCAGCAAGGCCACTTCCTCCCATTACATCTTCCTGGGGTGAAACTTACAGCTAATGGGACCTTCTAAATGCAGATGGGCCTGCCAAATTGGGAAATTTTCCAATTCACACTGCCCTGCTCCCAGTGGAAAATTTGGCTGTCGAACTTTTTTAATCCTATTTGTGGACCCATTGTTGATTCATTGATCACCTTTGCTTGTTGCAAAACAGTATTTGGAACTTCTAAGTATTCTTGGCAGAAAATGGAAGAGCTATGTGTTATGGTGAGATTGTTCTAAACTATGATACCTCAGATGTGTCAATTTTTGAGTGCACACTTTTTCAGTAACATTTAATTAATATGTAATTAACTTAATATATATTTCCTAATAAGCATAAAGAAAAAAAAGTCCAGAAGAAAAATGTAATCTGTCATATCAAAATTACCTAAAGCACATTTTAAAAAAAAGTTCTGCTTCTAGCGATAATTACTGAGGGTGTTTACTGAGGGCATCATCCTAACTTCAAGCAACTAGAAAGAGTTTCTTGTACCTCAACATGAACCGTTTGTAAGGAATGGAAGTTACAACGTTACTTCTGTGGAAAAAAGCATGAAAAAGAATGGTCAAAGATGAATTGAAAGATGGAAAATTTCCTGGGAATTAAGTACCTA